AAATTGAGAAATGTGTCATGACCCTCTTCTTATCAAAAAGACATTACATTTGGTTCCCGTCTCCATAGCAGATATACAACAGCTCCTTTTATCACTTCTTTATTAACTATTTGATAAGGCGTGTGATATTAACTATCATGCCTTATCAAACAATGCAATGCAGATGGATTTAGGAAATAGGTGATAACAATCACAGTGTTTGAAGACTGATAGCAGCGTTGGATTTTAGTAGCGGCTAGAGTCATTAACATGTGATGTACTGTACCCCGTCATACAGTTATCAAGTCATTCCCACATTTATTTAAAGACGGTCTTCAGGACAAAAGGTTGTTGCTCAACACACCCATAATAATTGCATAAAACAGATTGGCATTTATCAGCATGTGGATGTTATTGTGCTATTGTAATATCACACATGCACGTCCACCCAAGTTATTGTTTACATGTCATTCACGACATGTTTCAAATGAAAACAGGTAGAAAAAACAGAAAAAAAGAAAAATGGCAGGGATGTAAGAAAGTAAGTACACAAATCTGTGTCTTGGCTCTCTGTGCATACTCACAATCAATATATTATTCAAAGCTTTATATTACCCGATTTATGTAACGCTTTGCTGCAACGCCAGTTGTAAGAAATGCAAAAAAATCTTCACATCAGCTGCAGGTTGGGTTTAAGATTTTTAAATTCTTCAAAAAGAACCAACTACAATGATTGACCGTATGAAAATAATTGGACATTATGTTTCCCTCCCCTGAGTTAATAATGTTTTTAGGAACCCTTGCAAGAAGATCCTTTACCAAAGTAAAAGTGCCTGATATATTATTATATAAAATAATATGAGTAGAACTTTAACTAATAATTATTTTCATTAGCTATTAAACTCCCTTGATTAATCTATCAGAAGATGTCAACTTGTGTTTTTCACTATTTTCTAATATCTAAAAATGCAAAGATGTTCAGTTCACTAAAGAAAAGCAGAACATCACAGTTGAGAAGTTAGAACCAACAAATGTTTGACATTTTTTGCTTAAAAACATTAATAACGAAAACAAATCAGAATCGTTAATTTTAATCGACCCTAATTATTAGATTGTTCATACTGATGCATCAGTGTTAGAGCAGTGAGAGCTACTAAACATACAGTTAGCTAGTTTAGTTCACTGGTTCCAACTGTCTGTTTTCATCTTTTAGACTTTTTTCTAATAAATCATAGACAAATGAAATTAGAAATTAGAAAAATATTTTTTGGTCACAAACCAAAATGTTGGGAACCACTGGTTTAAATAAACAATGATTTGCATATGGTTCTTTATGCACAATGTGAAATGTAACAAGTAACTAGAATTTTCAGATAAATGTAGTGGATGAGAAGTGCAATGTTTTCCTCTGAAATGTAATGAGTACAGTACCATAAAATTGTACTTAAAGATTCAGACATGTATTAAGACATGTACATATAAATAGTCTGCTTGGAACAATAATGTGTGTCTATGTTTTTTTCTGTAAAAAAATCAAATGTCACAAATCCTGCTGGTAGGCCCCGCCCCTAAAATCTGATTTTCAATGAGCACAGAGAAACTTTCCACTTTCAGCAGATGAATGTGAAAACATCCTTCTAGTGTCAAACTCTGCACATACAGTATTCAAACAGCACACTGTAGGAGTAGGAACAAACACTGATTTCTGACTGAAGGGGGGCTTTAAAATAATGGAAATTTAGGAAATTTTTTGTAATACTTTACTTGAGTTCCCTCTTTTGAACTGGGTATTTATAGGCAGTATAACACAGGATTTAGACACTGTAATGTAGCAGATATACCGGGCATATTTATGTGTGAATGACATCCTATTAAGACTATATGAATAATATTTTGCATTATTTCAACTGTGTTTTACTACATTGTCATACTTTATCTGTTTATATACCAGAATCCATGTATGTGGGCCCACAGGAGGAGATATAGCTGTTAACGAATACATTGATAAACACATACAAATATACTTAATCTTGACATGGTAATGATTCGATGAGGTAATAGTTGCTGTTGTTGAAGAGAGATGTCTTATCTCAGCAGGCATGGCACCAGTGAGTGAGGGTTGGCAAAAAAACAAACAAAAAGAAAAACACATTGCATGATGAAACTCTTTATCTCTCGGGCCAAATACCAAATGAAATGTAATTGACGCAGGATATGTTCAGAGATTAGATGATGCTGGGAAACTGTGAGCATGGGTGTCCCAGGTTAGATGGTAAGATGTCGGCAGGGCCAGGTCCTGATAGGGATCGTCAGCAGCGAGTTGGGACCTGTGTGTGATACAGGCAGATTTCCCTGGAGGATTATTTTAAAACAAGAGGTGAAAAATGCCCAAAAAATAACTGACCTCAACAACCTGTCCCTTCCCCTTTACAAGGCAGGTAAAGTCTTGCTCATCAGTGCACCGAAGAGCAGCGTAAATTGCAGCTGACAGCAGCCAGTGACTTTCTTTCAATGTTCTATTATATTCAGTTGTTCTTTATTGTAGCTACAACATTGTTAGTGGTTGGATTTATTTGCAAAGCCTCCCTTTTTCTCAGCAAGCCTCACATTGTGAATTATTGCTACCACTCGACTCACATTCAAACCCATTGCTTTCCACTCAGTGTAACTCTTTGAACTTGTTTTCTTTCTCTCTTTTTCTGTAAGCCACTTTTATTAAACTCTGCCACTGACATTTTTGGCCTCTTCGCCTCCCACACTTTTTAATCACGCCAAAGCTAATGTTTTTAATTTATTATTCATTTTGAAATTTTGCCTGAGCTCTTAATACTTCTCAGATCGGGAGTTTTTTTTTCTTTCATTCTTGCTGTGGTGGATGGTGTTTTTCAGCTGTGTTATTGTGTAAGAGCGAGAGTCGGTGCAGAAGGTAGAGAAAAGGCGAGGGGGGGAGGAAAAGAGGAGGACAGAGAGACACCACCGCACAAAAAAACATTGTCTTTTGTTCGGAGTTACGACAGCTGGAGCAGTAAAAGCTGCAGAAATATTAAAAAGGAGAGAGAGAGTGGGGGGGGCTTGCAGTTTCTAATCAAGCGCTGTGGAATATGCCACGCTCAAACAATAACCATGGATTCTCCCTCATTTGTTCTGGTGAATTGCTGGCCAATGTCACTCAGTGCAGAGACCCTCTGTGTTTTTCCACTCTCAAATCTGGTCACTAACTTGATTTCCATACTCCGATATAAAAAAATCCTCCCATGCTTGCTCTTTCTCTGCCATTTTTCAGTTTCTAATCTCTCTCTCTCCGCTCTGAGGGTCACACATGCTGGCAGATATCGTCCAGGGGCTCGTATGTAAATAAAAGCAGTCCATTTGGCCTGAGCAAGCTGGCTATTCTTTGATACGTTGGCGCGTGTCCCCTGTCTGGCCTGGCAGCGTTTCTAATGCCATTACCCTGTATTAGCCATTTGGCTGACGCTCCCTTATCAGGGGATGCCGACCCCACAAGGCTCACACTCTCATGAATGTGTGTGTTGGGGGTAGTGGCCACGTGTGTTATGGCGTATATGTACTCATACATATTAAACACAAACATCCTACACTGTCACAGCCTGGTTCTCAGCAAACACTGATAAAGGACTAGGGCTGTGTATTTGAAGAGTCAGTCGATACGATATGTATCACGATACAGGGGTTACGATTCAATATAATGCGATATATTGCGATATTAGGAAAACTGTCACAGTCTAAGGAACACACAGTCCAACATCAAAGCCCTCAGTTTAAGTTTACAACACTGCTATGTCAGGTGGGTGTTCAAACAGAGAGTTAATACAATATCACAAAATAAAAAATTGCAATACGATATTTTTCTATAATTTTTTACACCCCCTATAAAGGACTGTCTCTATTTGTTTATAATGCACTTGCACTTTTTGCCCCTTAAAGGATACGTGTAAGGTTGGTGTTATTCTATGTTTCTCTCATCGTCAACAAATTCAATGAAAAGACCAAAACCAATAATGTGTTAGTAGGCCACTTGATGCTTTTTGGTTTCCCTTCCCTGTCTGTGGATCTAGTTAGTGAAAACATAAATCTTTAAAAATTGGTCACAAATATGTAGTTTCATTATTTAAAAAAAGCCTAAGCTATGCCTAACAACTGGGCACCGTAGTTTTAAACATCACTCAAACAGGAGTAAAGAGCGCATATTACATGAATAATATGTAACATTTCCACATCAAATTGTCTAGCTTCTATATGTAGTTGAGTTGTGTCCTTCCATTATCCCAAATGTTTCCAACAATGTTCAAACTCAGAGAAATGTGTCATTTTATTCAAGTAACGCTGCGTTTCACTGGTCGCCTGTCAATGGTCAAGTGGTTGTCTGCCAGAAGCTGTCATACACTGACTGTTTATCCAGTCTGAAGCCACATTTTTACCATCCACTGTTTAGATCTTGGTGCTTTTTAACTCTAGATTTGAACCGGATGAAGGATTTTAGTCATCGGACGTTGCAGCAGCTCTGCTCGCAGCCCCTCCAGGACGTCCTCTGTCTGCCCAACAGTGTGGGAGAAACAGTGATTGTTAAGGTGGAATGACTTTATTCAGTGTTTTAATCAGCGGGTCTGTTTGTTTTGGAGAGGAGGAGACCTCTGTGGATCATTGGGCTCCTGGTAGAAACCTCCTGAACCGTGAATACTGAAGGAATCCTAACCTGGAGAAGCTGACTGCAATGACAACACTGGTGGTGAAGACAAACAACTCCCATCAGCAAACTTTGTCTTTTGTTGCTGTTGTACGTTTAATACACATTTGGTGATCTAGTGAGCAGGGGAGCTACCGAGTCATAGCAACACTTGTTCAATACATACATTTTGGGTTTTTGTCTTTTTAATTTGGTTTGTTGATGATAAAATAAAATATAATATCACCAACATGGTACAATAGCTACATTCTATTTATAACATCCACTTTCTGCTCCTCACACACAGTCACAACTTTATTCCCTTCAATCTTTTCAGACTCGTTCTCTCTGGCTGGAGCTCCTCTGGGGGTGTGGAGGAGGATGGAGAGAGGAGGGGAGAGTCCCATCACCCAGGACAGTCCTGAGCGGAGGGGAGGCAGCCCGGACCTCAGTGGCCTCCCACCACCAGGGAAAAAGGGCCGGTTGGAGCTCAATGGTAGCCCCACTGGGCCACGCATACGCCACAACGGAGCCCCACCAAGGCCCTTAGGAGGTAAACTCATCAAAAGATGCATCAATTTTATTTATTGTAGGAAAATATTTTAAAGCGACAAACTCAATATAAGTTCACTTGTTTTTATGCACTTTTTTAATTTGCACATAGAGACTAGAGTGGAAACACCAGAAAGTCTAAATAGATATATATCGCAAAAAGGTTTTCAACGTAGGCTGAGGTGGTAAAGGTAGTGTATTGATAGGAACGGTGACAAAGTGCAGCGGAAACAGACCCAAGAATAAATCATCACGTGACTGAAGAGACGAAAAATAGCAGCATCCAGAAACATCAGATCTGTGTGCAGCGATTAGACTGTAGCATTCCTCAAATTAAGACATGAAAGAAAGAGAAATTTCACATTCTCTTTACATTTTGCACACCGTTTCTGTTTGTTTGAGGTCTGCCTGGAGCTCTTTTATCATCTTGTTAGCGCCACCATCGGTTTATCTCCATGCGCCCAACTGCTAATATTCACATAGAAAGGAGCATTAATCCTAATTTTCTTTTGTAGATTTTATGTACAATTTTGATGAAAACTTTTATAAAATGTGGTTGATGAGTTAAAAAATAGAATATTGTAAGGGATTAACAATAAGCTAATAATAATATATAATAAATCAGTGGAATCATTGGATTTGTGGAATGCTGCATTTTTCTCAAATAGAAAAATCTGGATGATGGCATGTCAGAACAGCTCTTGCGATTTCACCCAGGTGTCAGAGGTTTTTGAGCTCTTATGCACCCAACCCAAAGCCAGCTTTTGGCTGTGCACTGAGCCACATCCTGAGGTTGAGTTGAGTTTGGCTCGGTGCGCTGTGTTGTAGTGTGGCAGCGCTGCTGGGAGAACCCGAGCTGTTTCTGCACTGTTAATCTATAAGTCTGGGGGGAACTGTATAACACAGGCTTACCAAATAAAGGAGATTGCTCCATATAAACAAGATTTATACAACTCACTCTGGGTTATCGATCCCTGCTCTCATTGTGAAAGTTGTTTCTTGTTTATGTATGTGTGCATGCATGTGTGTGTGTGCACTTATGCCCTCTGTCTGGGTGTTTGTGTTGCCATATGTTTGCAGAAATTTCTCCGGTAATCTCTTACACTCTGATTTTTGCCTGACAGTTTAGTTAACAGTTTTAATTATTTTTCATATTACAAGTTTTCTGAAATGTTATATTCAAATATACAAATGATAAATTTTCTACCCAAGACCAAAAATCTGAACATTGAATGAATTGGATATTTCTTTTAATCACTTCATAAATCGGAAGATGCTTCAAAATCCATAAAAAACAATACATTATTACCATGTTTTTAGGGATACAATGTGATATAAATCAGGCTGTGAATGATATATGAACAAATCCCTCAGAAAAACCCTCCAGAATATAGATAGGAAGAAAACTGGAAGCTTTGGTGTATGTATAAAGTGAGGTGGAGATTTCTGGCTCAGAGTTTAAAAAAAAAAAGATATGTATTTGAAAATTCACTCCAGGTGAGATATCTCCATGAAACTTCACATACTGATTACTTATATTACAAGTTTTCTGAAATATTATGTTTAATTATGCTAATTAAGAATGATCTAATGCTAATTTTGGGTGAAATCTACAGACACAAACAGACAAAATGTAGCAAAACAAACAACTAAATGTGTATTTTGGGTGCTTACTTTCCACTAGTCTGAAAAGAACACATGTTATATATAAAAAAGCAAAATCCCCAACAAAACTAAATCTCAAAATTGACCACTGCATGAAAAACACACGTTTTGTTTGTAGTGTCTCGCTTTATTGAAGAGCTTAACAAATCAGCAAGGAGCTCAGATTTAAAACCACAGTAAGAGGAGAAGAAGAGAAGAAGAAGAAGAAGAAGAAGAAGAAGAAGAAGAAGAAGAAGAAGAAGAAGAAGAAGAAGAAGAAGAATGTGTTGGAGTGAGAGAATGAATGAATGTTTGAATGTAAAGAAGAAACTGTTTGTGTGTGAGAAAAGTGACGAGGGACGGAGGGAGGGACGGTGAAGGAGGAAGGAGGAAGGAGGAAGGGGTTTCCTGTGCTGAATGGATGGTTGGCCTGTAATAATGACGGGTTGTCTTTGAAGACAGGAAACTCAACGTGTCTCCTCCAAACCACACTGCTGCCACGAGGAGGGGGCCACACACACACACACACACACACACACACACACACACACACACAACATACAGAGCAGTGTGCAAACACAAACGCACAGATTTACATGCTCACACACACACCATACGTCCACATTCACAAACTTGTACGCTGTGACACTTACACCCCAGAAATGCTGCCAAAATACACACCCACTTACGCTCCATACACACACACACGCGCACACACACACACACACACACACACACACACACACACACAGACATATCTTATTTTAATGTCCCCGTTCACTCATCCCCATACATATTAGAGGGATTAGAGGTTTGAGGCAACATCACATCATCCAAACCAGATCATACAGTCAGCGGGCAAATCACAGGACACTGGATATAAGAGAAGACAGACTGAGGTGGAGACGGACGATAGAGCGAGATAGAGCCAGAGGGAAGAGGGTGAGAGAGAATGGGAGAGAGGGAGAGAGGGGGAGAGGAGGGCTGGTCGGAGGGAGCTGCTCTGTGTTGACAGTTATATTTCCCTGTTGGGGGAAATTCACTTACTTGAATTGGCACGGTGCTCCAGTGTGTAATTCACTCCATGAGAGCCTGGAGGACTGGGAGCAGAGTGATTAATGAGGAGGAAATAGAAATATAGGAATTGACTGATTAAAACAACGGGTGGGATGGATCTCGGTACGTTGGGGAGGGGGGGCTGCTAATGCTGCATGCACCTTATGTGTTTGTATGGAGGAGAATGTGTGTGCGTGCTGGGAAAAGGAGGCATGTGTGTGTGTGTGTGTGTGTGTGTGTGTGTGTGTGTGTGTTTGGTATTGTGTGGTATCCATGCGGTAAAACACATTGCCATGCCCTGTATTATTAGTGCTGGGACGCTGCCTAATGCTCTCACTCCATCATTTCTTCAGAGAGCTTTAATTAATTGCCAGTTGACAGGTGGCCCAAAACCAAAAACCTTTTAGGAAAAAGCTGATATTGGAGAGGAAGGATTGATATTAGTGCAGGGAGCCAGAAGGACGTGGATCTTGCGAGAATATGTTGGAATTGGATACTTATTGTAACCAGATACTGAAAACACTGAGGAACAAGTGATTGTCTTGATTTAAATGTGCCTGTTTATAATGTAGAGCTAAAGGGGATGCTAATGCATTAAGATTGTAATAAACACAATGCATGTACTGGGACAGAAAAATAACACCAACATAATAAAAGATGGCCCAAAATGGAGGATGTTTGTTTGTAGTCCAGCCCAGTCTCGCGCCAAAGTGTGTAACAGACCCGCCGTTCCACTAGATGAAATTGTGTCAGTGTCACGTTTTGCCTCGCCTACACGCGTGTATGAAGGTGCAGGAGCAGCAGTAGTATAAAGATTGTTTGGAAGAGGATAGGGTGGATGGATGGCTTTAACACACTTATCACTTTCACCCAGGAGACTGCTGTTTGAGTCCTGTGTGAGACCAATAGTTGATTTTGTGTGGTACAATCTTTTCCTAACCCTAACCAAGTAGTTTCGTTGCCTAAACCAAACTGCGACCTGAGCAAGCTTTATTTAGTATAACCGCAAGTTGCACATTTATTATTATTTTTTTATTTTTTTACTTTTTAAGCGTTTTATTTACCCCTTCAATTTACCTCCTGTTTGATCAGCCCAAAGGCCAGCATCAGAGCTTGTCCAACACAAGTTTCCAGTTCAATATATGAATTAGGAATGAGTTACCCAATGCTGTGTCCAACGGACATTATGCAAAAAAACATCTTTCCACCTAAAACGTTTCCTATGAACATCCCATCCACTCTTAACATGATTTCACAGAACATATGCATATACAGAGCCAAAATAAAATAGTCCCCCTTTCATTTTCATTGTCAAAAAAGCCATTTTATTCAATCAACCGAAAAGAAAACATTTCCAGTAAAAAAGACAACCATTGCCATGAAACCAGAACTATTTCTTTTTTTGGAGTGTGGAAACGAAAGAGCGTTTTAATATAAATGAATGACACACTCAAACTTTTAATAATGATAATTTACATTTCTGTTGTAGAAAAACTTGAGAGATCCATTTTTTTCTAAAGAAGAAAAATAAATTTTCTCAACAAAAGATTATGTGTTTGAATTTGACTTAAAAGTTAAACATCTTGTGAAGAGAGCTGCCTTGAAATTTTGAGTTTTGTCACTGTTTCTTTTTTACAGTGAAGAGGCAATTGAAATAAGTGTGTTAACTGTTTCCTTTCATTAGTTTTATTTGCCTCAACCTCACCAAACCTTAACCATAATGGTGGTGGCAGATCAGAAAATGAGTCTATGAATGATTTTTCTAACTGTGCCGGGAAGGCGCTGGCAGACGGTGTCATCCTGACGAGATGGGAAATCGCTCTTTTGAGTTTTTTGTAAGGCTGTTTTGTCATTAGAGGACTAGTTGAGATTGGCAAGTCCCACATGCCACTACCTAATTTTGCTTGAGATGGTTAGTTCAAGTACAACACCAGTTCTGGGTAGGCTGCTGTATGTGTATTGCTATTGCCTGTAAGTTTGCGTTTTGCGTCTAACTGCTCTTGTATAGTTCCCATTTATCTATTCTTATTTTATTTTATACACTTGGAATCATTTATTTTCTTTAAAGGTGCTGTGGGTGATTTTCTTTTGTGAAAATAAGTGTTAATTAGCTCTACATTGTGACAGCCATCACTGATATAGAGAGTTCAGTCAGTCACATGGTCTCCCAGTCCCTCCTTCCTGCAGTAAACAGAGAATACACTTCCTGGTATCCTGTTCCCACTTTATCCAATCAGGAGAGAGAACTCCACAAAGAGGCGGTCCTCAACGGCAGGCAGCAGAATGTCAGTGCGATGACGTTAGGAGGAGGGAGGGGACTGCTAACTGGACAGGAAGTTAGCCAAAATGCTGATTTCACTGATAGCACCTTTAACATTCTCTGTTTGTCTGTGCTTATGTCTGTCCTTATGCTGCTGTAACACCAACAACTCCCCTCTTATCTTATCTTACACAAGTTCTAGCCTCGTCCCTGCAGCGTAGTGGTGAGCCACATGTCTGGACTCACCAGTTACATTTTTTTTCTGGATTTACTTGAAGTTGTTGCTGTCAATAATTCATTTAACTGTTCAAAACTTCCACTTCCATACAAAGTGGTCATGGCGTTTGTCCTGGTCTGTGTGTGGAGAGAGCCCCATCCATTTCTAAACTGTTAAACCTTTCTGGAGAAGCTGGTTTGGCCTGAATTTGCATCTTGCAACTCATTGTATCATGTAAATTCAAGTTTTGTTTTGACCATAAACCTCTGTATAACCTTTGTCAACTGCATTCAAATTCAAATTTTACTTTAAATCCCTCATTTACGGTTCTGTAAATTGTTATTTTTTTGTTATTAATTCCTGAATAATGAAAGCAGCAGTTTTTGTCAGTCTAGCTCTTTTGTATATTTGTATAATCTTTGCATATCTGTTAGGCGAGCCATTCTTATGACTGCCTATCTAATAGCCGTTAGATTAAATGTCTGGACATTTCCAGCAGACATTGAGCAGCACTGTTACAGTCCATTTAGGAATGCATATTGTTTGTTTTATATCCTTGCTTGATTGTGGCTTATTGAGAATTTCAGGTGTTGTAATATTCAACAATGTACAACAAAAAGGATGAAGTGATTACAAGCTTCAATTCAATCCACATGTTTGCTGTCTGTGAGGGATAAACTGTGTTGTGATCACAGACAATAAAAGCCAGACATTAAAAGAATCTCCTTGTTGTTTTCGTCCTCCTCCTCGAACAGGTCTGATGATTCCAGTCTTCTGTGTGGTGGAGCAGTCGGATGGAGGGATTCAGACAGATGGATGTGAGGGAAGAGAAGAGCACGCAGAGTTTGTCCTGGTCAGGAAAGATATCCTGTTCTCTCAGCTGGTGGAGACGGCTCTGCTGGCCCTCGGCTACTCCCACAGCTCAGCTGCACAGGCCCACGGTCAGTCAGAGAGACACTACAAACACTGCGACACCAGTGCTGTCATATCTCTTTATTCTTCTCATAGTTTAAAAGAAATTAATCTTTCAGATTTTCAAAGTAAAGTGTGATTACAGCCCTTAGACATTTTGCAAAATTGCATTTCAAAATTCCTTCAAGTTCATCATATGTAAAGTACTAAACATCTACTGTATGCGCTTGAAATGAAGAATCTTTTAAAACAAATAAATTTTTACCATGCTGCTACTCTCTTACTACCAACTAAGTGAGCACAAAACCAACTGAATATGATCTGTGAATCAACATTGTGTCTGACAGGGACGGATATCAAGTGCAAAGTTTTGAGAGGATAGTATGATAGAAGTTGTGAACCTACAACAGGAGCTGTGTCCCTGAATCCAAGCCAGCTACAGCCTGGCCTCATGATTTATAGTGTGGCCTAGCATGTTGTAGCAACAACAGCTCACCTCAGGATATTATATGCTCATATAGCATCATTTTTAAAGCATTATTTATGGGAAATAGCTTACTTGCTTTCTTGTTGAGAGTTTGGCGATAAGATCGATATCACTCTCATGTTTACACTCAATGTGATGCTACATATGAAGCCAGATAGCTTAGCTTAGCATAAAGACTAGAAACAACGGAGAAACCTGTCTAAGAGTAAGTGTTTTCAGTGGTGACAAATTTAAATGAAAAAGAAAGAAAACAGCAGAAGAAGCCGATAGCTAGCCGTAGTAGAAATAGCCATCATCACCAAACACATAAAGGAGCACCACCTACAAAGTCAAACCTCAGACAGGAATACCACGCAAATGGACTTTGCAGTAGTGGACACAACTGTTTGTTTGAGAAGCACAAAAAAGAAGTGCTTAGCAACACTGATGCTGCCTGAATCAATAAAACATAGTTGTACAGATTACCAACTTTTTAGCCTTGGCAGAGCAATACAGAATAACAGTTACTATACTAACATTTAAATAGCTAAATATCTGAGGTCATGCTGCCTCTTTTTGTTAGCAAGAAGAGGGTTTCATCAAGGCCATTAATAACAGTCAGGATTTTCCAACCGCCAACTGTCTCACTTTGTAAACTATGGCACTACTGACTCAGAATTAAATGCAGCTTAGGGGTCAAGACGAGAATGATCTTTGAGAGGAGACTCTCCCTCTAATCAGCGGCCTGAGAAGAAAACTGGATGTGAGATGTTCTCTTTAGAGCAGACGCTGCACTGTTACGGTGGCAATAAGCACAAGAATGTTTCAAAAACACAACTAAGACACAGACAGGGCCTGTAAAACTCATTAAAGACACAACAAAGAGCTGGACAGGAATGTCTCCGCAAGACAAAAATACATTGTGTGTTTGTGTGTGTGTGTGTACAGTATGTGTGAGAATGTTTATGAAGCAGAGGAAAAGAAAAACTGTAATTTATTGTTGCACACATGGTAGTCATCTGCAACAGGACAGTGTCATTTACTGCTGTCTTTTCTCAAGTATGCAGAAAATTCCATCTGGGGAAGTTGCCTCACATGGATATGAAATGGTAACAACAGAGCGACAGTGAGCAACACGGCTATTGCAATAGACTGAAAATGGTGGGGGATCCCCATCTGTTTGAGATCTCGCTCCAGTATTTGTGTGTGTGTGTGTGTGTGTCATCCCCATCAGGTCTCGTTCAAATTAAGTCTGCAGACCCATGAGCATGCAGACATGGTTCTTTGAGATTGCATGTGTGTGTATGTGTGTGTGTGTGTGTGTGTGTGTGTGTGTGTGTGTGTGTGTGTGTGGGTGGGTGTGTGTTCTCCCCATCTCATAAACACACAGGTAATCCCTTTACTGCCTCAAGGCCAACAACCCTTATCAGACCTCCAGCCCACCTGAAACAGGCCGTGTACTCTCGACCTCCGCCTCTCCGTTTTCCCTTAACAGGCCCGACTCACATCCAGCAGAGCAGCGTGCCAGCTGAACAGTGGTCCCGTCTCACAGCAGTCATGTTCTTCAGTCTGTTACATGTTGAGCTTTTAATATGATATCATTCAGGGTTCCCATTAGCTGAAAAAATGTTTTCCAGGAACTTTTAACAATTAAGACAGTGCTATTTAAATGGACGTGAAGAGTGACATTTGGGTGCTAGAAATCTGCCTCAAGATATCCTGATTTTAACCTGAAGTCTGGCTTCACTTATTCAGTTCAGCAGGTTCAATTTCAGCAATTCATTTGACTTATTCTCTGATAGTCGGCATTGTAGGCAACACAAAAGCAAAAGTGTTAAAGAGTAACTTTTAGGGTTGAGCGAGTACTAGGCTTAAAGCTGCAGTAGGACACTTTTATACAAATAGCTTTTTTTCATATTCACTGAAACTTTCACTATACCCTGACAGTAATACATGAGACAGATAATCTGTCTTCTCAGTGCTATTTACAACCAACCAACCAATCAGAGACAAGATTGAGTCTGATTGCGAATTCAAGCTACCAACCCAAAGCCAACCTGACGTGACACATCTGGGAATGAATTCTAAATGTTAGCTACTGCAGCTTTAATGTACAACTTCCCAACTCGATGTACGACTCCCATTTATGTCAGATTTATTTAAGCCCCACCCATTCCAACAGATACAGATAATTTAGTTGGTTGAACATAATGCTAAAGAGGTTAGTGTAGATGCTGCTAGCATCAGTTCTATCAGAACTGGAGATCATTTTCTTCATCGAAAGAAGAGCTTCGTTGGTCTGATTGGTTGAAGGTCGCCTATGATAGACAGTGATAGACAGATGGTTCATCCAAGTGCCTGCCCTTTTCCACAGGGCAGTTTCCAAAAAACACTTCCCAGATGGTTCTGTTTAACCAACCATCTGGCACAGTCAGGTAAATATTTTCTACCATTTAGGATAAGTGATACTGCATATTCTACACACCAGCTAAATGGCTGAGGAATTGTAATGTGGCAACATCACAAAAATAATGTCAGATGGGGCAGGAGTCAACAGATTTTAAATAAAAAGAAAGAAACCATAAAATGATTACCAAAACTGTAATCTAATTAAAACATCCATGAGAAGTCAGAGGACGCGGTTGCAGTGATAGGTTGCCAAGTTTCCATATCTTAAGAATTACTTAGTTATAGCCAAAAGAGCAAAAAATAGACCCCAATTGTAATAGACATATGATATTTTAAAGGTCCAATGTGTAACCTTTAGGAGGATCTATTGTCAGAAATGGAATAGTATTCACAGGTATGTTTTCATTAGTGTATAATCACCTGAATATGAGAATTGTTGTGTTTGTTACCTTAGAATAGGCTGTTTTTATCTACAGATTGCCTTCCATGGAGTCCACCATGTTAAATTGTCATGTTTCTACAGTGTTTTCTACACTGGCTCCTCTGGCGTTCGTATTTTTTGTGCATTTTGCGACCACTGTAGTTCTTCCTTTGTGCTTGGAAGGGGAGGTGGAAGCGTCTGAGCTGCGACCTGCAATGACGCTGCTAGAAGCAACTACACACTGGACCTTTAACGGATTGAGGATAATTAATTGCCACAAAAAGGCTGCTTTAAATGATAATAACATTACAAATCCTTGTAATCCTTCCAGTATAACCATTTATCAACTCATGCAAAACTGCAAAATTCAGACCTGTAATTGAAAGCCCGTTAAAGCAAGTTAAAAAAATAAACACACAGATACACATGATCCTTAAGCGATGGCCTAAAATAGCCGGCTAAATTCTATGGCTAGTGTTTGCTACGGTTTGCAGATGAATGCCATTAGTAGCACTTTTAGCCTCAGTGTTTTTGCCAAGTATCAGGGGAGGTCTCTCTCTGTCTGTCTCATCAGTGTGTATGGAAAACAGCGAGCCACAATGGTCCCCTGTCCACATCAATGCACTCCCCCCTCTAAAAGCACCACACCAGGGGCTTCAAAGGCGAGACTAAACGGGACATCACAACTCAACACAAACAAAAACTCCAAGAATTGACTTGAACGCTGTTCACTTACAGCCTGTGTGCACAAAACTCACTCACGGGCACATAAACATACTTGTAAACTTTATTTAACCCATGCAAGGATGCATTTGCATGTGCTCACACTAAAGCTCACATACGCCTGGAGTAGAATACCTTGTAGTCATGCAGTATCACAGACAAAACACACACACACACACACACACACCCTTCCCCCCAGCTTCTCTCAAATGAATACTTTTTGTTTTTTAAAACAAGCGTTTATGTTAAATGAATAATTTCTGGCTTAAATTATACATTTTTCCCTTGCGGTCCACAACCAAAATTACACAGAGTCCCAGCTATTTTCTCCCTGTTTGAATTGTGTCCTGCATTCTTGTGTCCCAGCGGTGTATTTAAAGTCCCCGCCGAGGACCACGGCCTTTCTTTAATTAGCTTAGCCCAGTAATTAACTGGGAGATATTGTTTATTTCAATTATAAGGGTCTGAAGGCTTTTATAGAATGGATGGGAGCAGACCTGTACTTTACGGCTTTAGTCAGCGAACAGTTAACAGTGGTCAGTGAGAGAGAGAGACAGAGAGACAGAGAGAGAGGGGGTAGAGAGAGCATTGTTGCAGTGCCACGTCTAACAGGCCACAAAGGGTCACTGCTGCAGACCATGTCAGCACACTACTGGACTGAGATCAGACCTGTTGTCCATTGTAGTTCTAGCAGAGTGCTGTTACATTTTGGGCACCACTTACAGCATTCTTATCTATTCAAGGCATACTTTACTTAATCCACAGATTTATAATATATTTAAAAATCAGTGGACTAAGAACATATTTTGAGTTGCCAGGTTAGGCTGGTAATTAAATCTTCATACATTTCTCTGTAGGTCACTTTTTAGTTTATCTTAAAGGATAGCTCTGGTTCCTCAAAACCAGGGTCTTATTTTTGTACTTTTTGCCATCTTCCTATTGTTAAAAATAATACTGAACCCACCAAGATAATTGCTGAGAAGACAGGGAAAGAAACACAGGCTGTCAGA